CACTGGCGGTGCAGTCTCTCCGCCGCTGCTGAGGCTGCTTGGAAGCGGCGGCCGCCCTGGCCAATCTCTTCCGGCGGCTGCTCCAAAAGTTCTTCACGTCATTGTCCGTTCTCCCCGGCAAGTAGGTCGCAATTTTCGCCCATTTGTTCCCAAATTGCGCCTGGAGATCAATCACCGTCCTCTCCTCCTCCGCCGAGAACTTCACCCCGCTGTAATTTCAAAACTCGTTCATTTTCGCAGGGGGAAAAACTAAAATCGAAAATGCAGGGGGGGCAAAATTAATGAATAAATTACTTTTTCAAGTTGGGGCGGAGTTTGTTGACCCAGCGGAGGCGGCAGGACTTTCCGGTGCGGCGGAGAAGGCCGTTGGATCGAATGGAGCTCCAGTCTCGGGGGCCGTACTTGCTGACATGGTCGAGAAGAACCTGGTCTTCCTCCGCCTTCCACGGCCCTTTCTTTATCCCGTCCTCATCGTTCTCCTCTCCGTTGCTCCAAATCCTTCTTCTCTCCATTATTTTAATTTCTTCTCTGCAATTCAACAGAATTTGTCTTCTCCAGTTTCGCATTTGAAAACAAAAAAAATAAAAGAACAATACATATATCCATTATTATAAGGAGTGGAGTATTTCGTTTTGAATTGTGACGGTTAAGGCCCTAATATTTAGCCCACATTCCCCATTTTCATTTTATTTGCTTTCTTATCCTTTTTTTATATAAATAATTTTAAAAATCAGTAAGAATTGGCGGCTTCTTGTTTTTGAGTCCTAACTTCGTTTACTCCTTTGTCCTTGTTAAGAAATATTTTTCTAGATGCTTAAATGATGATTCATATTTAAATGTGCACTTTCTCATACTCACTCCGATCCAAAAAAATTTACACGTTTCAAAAAAATTTTGTCTTATAATCCCTTACCCATTTCTATTAAAAAACTACTTTTACCCCTTACTTTTTCAAACCCTACCTATCACATCATACCTTTTTTCCTAATAATCTACATATCACATCTGATGGTGTAAATTACTTGACCGGTCAAACTATACTAGACCGGGTCTAGAATAGTTCGCTTGATTTGGCAAAGTAAGAAAGGTAAAAACACGCAAAGTGACCGGTAGGACTTTAGGTGGAACACCTGTAGCCCAATTTATATTATAACGGAGAATGCACGGGTGCTTTTACAAAGGAGTTTAGAGAGAGTGAAATTCGG